AGCGGGGTAAAAATAACCTACCTGTTGCCGGTCCCAATTCCATGCTGGAGTCGTTGAGCTCTCCTCCATCTTCCCAGAAGTACTGCGGGGGCTGTAAGATCTTGGACTCCTCATTCTCCTCGCTGGCAAAGCCCGATCCTGGAGCAGCATGCAGAGAGCCAGGGGCAAGATCAGGCTCCGCAGCCTCTGGGCTGGTTTGCTCGTGGGAATTCATGGCCTCCAGGTGGGACATCATGGCAAGCTCCAGCAGGGAAGTTGACGTGAGGCCATCAGCGGTTGGCTCCTCCGAGGAGCCAAGGCAGAGGCCCAAGGTCCCTGTAAAATGAAGGTAAACCTGGATCAGAGATAGGGCTGACACCCACTGGGCTTGGCTCCTCCTTGCAGCCTGCTCCTGCCAGCCCAAGCCGCTTCGCGCACCTGCCTCCGGGGTAACCCCGCAGACGGGCTGTGCTGTCAGCCGATGAGGAAGATCAGGGCATTTTGGGGAACATCCGCAAACACGCAGAGGAGCATTCACACCCGGAAGGAGTCAGCGCCAAGCAGCCATCCAGCCTGGAGCACCTCTCTTCAACGGGGCAGTGATGGTTCACCTTCCCTGAGGTTTTTTGCCTCTTTGGAAGGACGGGTGCCTTGTTAATCACCCATCCTGGAGAGGAGCTGGAATGTCTTATACCTAAAGCCATGAAATTCTGGCCCTCTGAAGTCAAAGGCAGTTTCTCATCCAACTGTCACCCAGGCAAGATTTCACCCTAGTGCTCCTGATCTGCAGCTGTATTATATGCAGGGGGATTGACTTAAACCAACATTATCTACATCACCAATATTAATCATGTTTTAAATCAGCAGGCTGGAAATCTATTTTTAAGTCATTGATCTGAACTACATTTTGCATTCACATTTTTTGTTTTCATAAGGACTGACTGTCACAGGTAAGAAATAAAATGTACCAACAGCAAACATCTACCTAGCACTAAGCAGGGAGGCAGGTTGCATTTTTCACTTTTCTTTCAACAATTTGTTTTCTTTCAACAATTAAATCCTTGTTATTTCCATTTTATCAATGACTGACACTTCTTGATTCCTAAATCAGACTTCAATTGCGATTTGTGTCAAGGTACATTCGCATGCATATTGAACTTCAATCAAAATGCAAGAAAACAGCACCTGGAACTTCGCTTTATTCAACTGATAAATACCATGATAAACACGGAGGCATAAGTAAAAAGTGAAATTACCAAAATATGTTTTACATTTAAAACAGTTTCGTTAAGCAAGCAAAGTAACTAATTCCGGTGAACTGAACCAATTGCTTCCTAGCCTTCTGTTCTTCAGCACATTAAAACTAGAAGATCTCATCCTCTCACAGATGATTTTTATTCATATATCAGAAGAAAAAAGGACAAGTTTTCCCGCTTTCTCAGCTCATACTCAGTTTCCCAATTCTTAATGAACTAGTCACTGAACTGAACTGAGTAAGCTGAAATGAAGGCTAATTTGGTATTTTTCTTTGATAACTGATTTTCTAGACAAGAGAAATGCAGCAGATCTAATCCATCTGGACTTCAGTAAAATATCTGATACAGCGCCTCATGCAGAATTACAAGAAGGGCAAGAAAAGACGTCGATTAGCAGGAAAACAGTAAGGCATTGGCTATACGAAAAATGACAGAGGTTTGTGCTGGAGGGAGGCTGTTAGTGGAATTCCTCAAGGTCTGTCCTTGGATCTGCTGTTGTCTAACATTTTCCTAAGTGACCTTGGAACAAAAATTAGGAACATAACGAAATTAGCCAAGGACACAAAGCTAGGAGACATGTAGAAAGACTGTAGGTACAGCTAGGTTACCTTGAGAATGGAAGTAACAGAAATATTATGAAAAGAAATAGTACAAAGTGGTAAGTCATCACCTTGAGAACCAGCACCAAATATTTCTGACACAAGATAGGAAACCATCTATTAGATATGTCTTAAGAGGAGAAACACCTGTATTAGAAACATCTCTGAGCTATCACTGGGATGCAGATGTGAAAATGCTTGCACAGTCCTGAAGTATTAGAAATAGAGAGATTTTACAAAGCACTGCTGAGACATCACCTGGGTGCTGCACGCAGATCTGGATACACGTGGCCTGAAATGATTTAAGCAGAGCTGAACTGCCTTCAGGCAAGGGCACAGACTAGGCGACCTCCCGAGGTTCCTTCCCACCACTATGTCCTACGACTCCACATCCCAAATTCACATAAGGGCAAGTGCCAAGATGAGCTATTGGGCAACGGCAGATGGGTTGGCCCTGGTGTTTTCACTGAAAGCTGTGGCTTTTTTTCACAAAAAGTTTGGGAGTTGCTGCTCACTTGCCAGGCTGATTACCAAACCTGTCCTCGGCACCCTGGAAGCCAGAAATGCATTTTCTCAAGCCTTCTGCCTGCTCTGACCCTCTCCCCCCTCCTCCACTTTTCTCTGAAGT